TGCAGACACAGCTGGTTTCCTCCTGTTACAGGTGGAGTGTCAGAGCTACAGCCCCTGGACCCATCTTGCCACTATTCACAGCAACAGAGAAACAAATGTTGTTTCCAGCTATATCTTGAGAAATCCTCCTGATGGGCCTGTCTGGATCGGGATCCATGACGCTCGGCATGTAAGTTCTTGCTTCCGCTGCCCATGTGCCTTGGCCCTCCCTGGTTCTGGACGGCTCCTCTTAGTCCCCAGGACAGGCAAAGAGGCCTCAAGGGTCCCTGTGCTTGGGCTGCCAAACCCGGGGCATCCTTCTCCCCACTGCTCACCCTTGGGCAGGCAAGTATGGGAGTCCTGGGGCCAGTGGGAGGGAGGGGGAGTCATGCGGTCCTGCCTTGCATGGGACCGGGTTGAGGCTCCCTGCCACCTCTGGTTCCTGACTAGTGACTGTGTCCTGCAAGCTGCTGCACCCGGTTCCCTTCCTCCAGAACAAAGTGCCTCATTTCTGGTGACAGTCAGGCTCCCTCTTGCTCTGTCTCCTTCTGACACAAGCCACTAGCCTGCCCCTTCCCAGGGCAATGTGGCCCAAGGCTGGTAGGGGTGGGCTTAGTCAGAGCCATGTTCAGCTGCTCAGGCACCAAATAGTTGAGGCTGAGCATGCAGCACAGGCTATTGTGGCCATTGTGATTTTTGGAGGTGCCCTTAGCATGTATTTCCAGGGGATGTTCCCTACCTAAGCTTTCCCTCCTCTTGCAGAATGGAGCATGGACATGGACAGATGGCTCAATCTACCACTACAGAGCTTGGAACAATGGTGAACCTAACAATTTGGACTGGGTGGAGTACTGCGCAGAGCTGTTAGAATATAAGCGTAAGTAGGAGGCTGTGACTCCAAGCTATGAGACGCTGATGGACCCAGGAATAGACCCTGCTTTTGTGCAGACTTTTCTCCTGGACTACAAATTTTACAAGATGTGCATGAACACACAAAAGCCTATCCATAATATATTTTGAACATGCATTTAATGGGAAATATTTGAGCAAGAAATCATCCACACACTAGACTGTATTAGGTGGGGTTTCAACGGGGGTTACGGGCTCTTACCCCACCCCTGGGTTAGCTTCCATGACCCGCTCTGTGTCTGTGGGTTGGTGGCTTGTTTGCTTCTCCCAGCACTGTCCCTCTCCCCTCCCTCTCCCTCCTCTTCTCACACCTCTGTGTTCAGATCAGTCCTCCACTTTCTATCCTGCTCCATGCTGTCCTCTCACAGCCCCCCTGGAAGTGAACACGAGTTCACCAGAGCTTGTGCTCATTGTCTATCTAGTTTAGTTATATCTATGTTGCCTTCACCTGTGCAAGCGTGCAGGGGTCGTGGACTGTGCAGGAAGGTGAGTGCACATGGTGACACGAGTGCAAACACACCGGATTCTGGCTGTGTGGAAGAGACAAGGGAGCTCTGCACGGAGCAAGAGAGAGAAGCCACTGGGCAGAGCAGTGGCTGCAGGGAGGCCTGGAGAGGAAGAGAGAAAGAGAAAACAAGGTGGTCCCTAGGACCTGATTGCAGAATCCAGGGCTGGAGCAGTGGTTGGATAGCATGTCTGTGTGCATGTGTGTGCAGGGGCCAGGCACTGACTGCACTGCATGTGTGAGTGCCAGAATAAAAAAGCCAGGAGACAGTGAGAGACCCAAGGTGCCCTTCCCTGAACCCATCTGGAGAGAGGGCTGGGGATTGGCTGCGTCCAGCTGGAACAGCAGAGCTGGGCACGGATCAAGGGAGCTGCGCACTGCTGTGGGATGGTGCCGTGTCCAGGGAACAGGACTCAGCGCAGCTTCCTTGCAACAACACTGGATGGCACCAAGGGACCTGACTCCCGTCCTTGGTTTCTCTCTTCCTGGAAACAGCCTTGTGGGCACCACGTCCTCTCCCAGGGACTGTGTCAAGGGCAGCACAGTCAGTCATAAGTGCACCCAGAGCCTGGTCTGCCATTCCCCCCATGCCTCATGCATGTGGGGCCTGTCCCCTTCATCCCTCACTACTCTGGATGCTGTCTTCACTCTGCCCTGCCTCAGGGTCAAGGACAGGACCTGGGATCATGTCCCAGAGCAGGTGTCAGAGGCAGGGAGTGCATCACATGCAGCCTGTCCCCTCCCCTTGGTAATTTCTGTTTTGTCTCCTAGGGTATGAAAGATGGAATAATAGTATCTGCAGAATGAAAAAAGCCTTCATCTGCAAGTACGAGCTCTAAACAGGTAGGACAGCTTCTATCCACAAGCCATGGGGGTGGGTTCATCATGCTCCTCGCATATGCAGGATCTGCTGCCTTAGCTGATGGTGTTGCCTGTCTCCCCTTGTCCTGAGAAAGCATCTCTCTCTGCCCACAGGGAGGAAGGACGCAGGGGGAGGCACTGAAGTGGGAGCAGGAGCCTGGGTTGGACTTGGATCCAGGTTGTCCTGGAACGGGTGATTTCAGGGGCCCACATGGAGGCCTTTGCAGGGGTCTGATTTCCAGACAGGGATTTCCAGACAGGGGTGCTCCTGCCCCGGGATCATGAGGCCCATTCAAAGGGTCTCCCTAATGGTTCACAATGACACTTGCTCTTGCAGGAGGTACACCAGCTCCTGGGACATGAGCGCGTTGCATCCGGCAGCTCTTCCAGGAGACCCATCCTGCAAACCGGCCTGCTGTGCCCCCTCCCCACACTGCTGTGCCCAACCATGCCAGTCCCGCTCTCCTCTGCCTCCTCTTGCTCCACTGGGCTCCCTCATCTCCTGTCCCCTCCTCTGATTGGTCCCAGCACAGTGCAGTGATAATAAACTTCCCCTTGGCATTCAGTCCCGTGTGTGTCTCCTGTGGGCCCTGCCTGCCTGCGAAGGGGAAGGGGCCACATGTTTCCCATGGCTGTGCCGGGAGCTCCCCTGGCCCAGCACCTTGAGGGGAAGGGAGGCAATGGGGAGGGATGGGGAGGGCCGTGGCGTAGTGGTTATCCTGCAGGGCCGGGTGGGAACACCAAAATGGCAAGTGTGTGTCACGGGTGTGCGGGGAGCAGGGACCTCCACACCTGCCATGGGGGAGAGAGCATCAGCGCGTGTCTGTGGTGCAGAGATGGGTTTGGGGGCACTCCAGGGGCTGTGTTCCCAGGGTCCCTGGCCCGAGATGGGCTCCTGTGCTCCCGGGGCAGCACCTGTGTTGGCTGGGCCCCGCTCCTGGCCCGTGACAGGAAAGATAATGGCATAATCCGTCCCCCTATCCCCTGGACAGCTGTTTCCCCATATAGCCTCAACAGCTGGCAGGCTTTGTGGCCTGATCAGGGGCCACCATCCCTGGAGTTTTCAGCCCTCTGCGTCTTAACACACACAGGGTCATCTATGTCACGAGTTATGCCTGTCAGCAGATGGAGATGCAGATCTCCCCAGTCCCCTGCACCAATCTTCTTGAAACTTGGCAGGCTTTGTGGATTCGCCAGGGGCCACCACCCCTGCAGTTTTCACGCCCCCCACCCCCCGTGGAGTAACACATAGACATGACACAGGTTTTGCTTTCAATAATTTGGGGTGTAGTTCCCCCTGAACCCCTGCACCGATCTTCTTGAAACTTGGCAGGCTGTACGCTCTCAGAGGCTACAACTCCTGCAAATGTCATCCAAATTGGATGGTGGGGGGTCTACTACAGACCCCCCAACCAAGGGGAGGAGCTAGAATGGAAATTTTTGGGCCAGCTTGCAGAGGCACTTAAGGCAAGGGATGTAGTTGTCATGGGTGATCTAAATTACCCCAACATCTGCTGGGAGGAGCAGTCAGCCAGGTCGAACCATTCCAGGAGGTTCCTGGTCGAGATACAGGACCTCCACTTAACCCAGGAGGTGCACAGTCCCACCAGAGGAAATGCCCTGTTGGACCTGGTCCTGGCCACAGGCGATGATCTGGTAAGGGGGCTCCAGGTCCTTGACCACCTGGGTGAAAGCGATCATCGCTTGCTGGAATTCACCATCCAGCGCAGTGTGCCAAGGGCCTGCAGCAAGGCGGTAGCCCTAGACTTCAAGAGGGTCAACTTCAGCGAGTTGAGGAGGTTGGTGGGAGAGGCACTGAGGTCCTTGAGGGCAGGGGAACTCAGTGCCCAAGATGAGTGGTCATTCCTTAAGGAGATGATACTCAGGGCCCAAGAGGTGATGATCCCAACAAGAAGCAAGGGGAGCAAGAGTGCCCAAAAGCCCCTCTGGCTCACCAAGGACATCTGGGAATGCCTGGTTGCCAAAAAG